AATCAACCAAAACTTAAGATGTCAAGGGGATCCCTAATTCCTTTGGATTTTCTATTATACCCCCTTAACGACTTCAAAGCCCCCCTAATTCATTATGGTCTGGCTCGTTTTAAAATTAGTACAGCCCCTTTTAAAATGCTCATGAGGAATTTTTAGGATCCTGGATTCATTATTTATTATTAGGGGGGGTTGTATTAATATGAGGAAGAGATTAGCATGGGCCTTTGTCAAAGATTTACCTTGCCAAGAAATCGTCATCTGACCCTAGATTCAAAGCAAACCCAAGGAGGGCAATGCTACGCCGGCGGCGACATGAGAGCGGAATCCTGACCGCGCTGTTCCGGTACTGGAGTAGTTGTTTCCGTTTTCATAGACTACCGGTAGATGTCACGTTCGTTTGGGCTACTTGGCTGGGGCAATGCTGGGTCTACTTGCTCCAGATAGCCCCTTTTTGCGGAACTTGCTTTATTCCCAATGTTGGCAGATCAGTTGAGCAACCTCTTTGTATCATGTATTCCTGGCAGGAGTACCGGATCCTTCAAGTTAAGGCGGCGCCCAAAGTTTTTTGCTCCATAACCCCAATATACTATAGTAGTGTCCATTTTCTTTTCCATTATCCCTATATAACCCCCAAATACTATAGTAGTTTCCATTTTCTTTTCCGTTATCGCCTATATAACAGAACCCCTTTTGATTGCTGTCTAGAGTGGCACCTTGGCCTCACAGCGGCGCAAGTAGCAGTTGCTTCCTGCCTTTTGGAGGGCACGGTCCAGCATATGCATTCCTAAGCACTCCAAGCCCTAAAACCCTAAGCATGCCAACCTGAAGACTCTAATCTCTGTAACCTTGAACCCCTAGACTTGAATTCCTGAATAGTCCAGCCAACAACCTGCAACCTGTGCTTGGTATTTTGATGTTCCCTACCTTAGGGCAGCACATGTATCTGACATCAAGTGGGAAGGCACCTTTACAAGGCAAATGGACTGGACGGATAGAGGCAGGCCAAGCTACTTACCGGTGCTCAAGGCGGAGTGATGAGCTCGGATAAACCCCAAACAGAACCCTAGAATGGTATCTATATTCCTTGACCCCTCCTCTTTAAGCACCGAATAGGTTTTGGGGCAGTTGTGTGTAGAGAACGCCTTGGCTGTCCGCAGAAAACGCGCGTGCTGGAGAGGCCTATACGCCGTCTTTGGGGTTGGAATCAGTGATTTTGCAGTAAGCCGCTCTAAAACGAACACCCTACTGAGTACTGAGTATCCAGAGCAGGTACCTTAGGTTAAGTTCCTTCACAGCAACCCAGGTCCTGGACCTGTTAGGGGGTGGTAGCAGGAGAATCATCCCGAGTTCGTCTTCATGCACGGCGACTGCACGGTAGGGTATTCTAGTTGGTACTTCTTTATCTTGAGCCAACCATGTTGACTTTAGGTGTTTTTTTTGTCTTCTGTCCTCTACAAACCCTGATTAAGGCAATGAAGTTGTAGGAAATACGCGAGATCCCTGTTTGCAAGTCGATGTCCTTCTGACTCTCTTATAGAAACTCTGTGGAGCAAATCTTGTAAAATCTGAAAATCTCGGAAGCCGAGGAAATTCATAATCCAGATTGATTCCTGATTTCAAGCCCCTGAATTACCACACAAACCTCCCCAAAACCATTCTTAGGATAGGTTAGCTGCCCTTTCAGGGTAGTCTTGTCGTTGTCAAGATCTATTCTTAGAGGGGCTTGACCCAGATGTTAGGAAGCTTTTGAACTTTCCGTATTTTGGGCATCTTTCGTGTGAAGGTCCTGTGCGGGCGGGTTTTCTAACAACCATTTGCAGCCTCTCCAGCTTTTAGGGTTCAGGATTGTTTAGGGTGGAGTCGGGGTCTTCAATATACTCGAGCCTATTTGTGTTTGAAGTCCGTGAAAATTGTAGGTGAAGATTTTCCAAGACTTGCAGCACCTACCCACCCTCCAACGGCCTGATGCAAGATCGACATATACTGTACCTTTTGATTCGTGCCCACGACAGTTTTGAACACTGGTGCGCTCCTTGCCTTGAGTCAGTATTTGGATTCGGCTTATATGGATGTCCATATAACAGGTTCACATACCGCTCAGACATTCTTCTTGCATACAGCACAACTGCGATTTCTATGATTGCAGTTAGCCCAAAGCCCAAGCTGGAGTTGGGCAGGTGCACATTTCGAAGTTTGCCCGACCTCCTCGCTCGAAACTGGGGCGTGGAGTTTCTCAGAGGTCCGTTGTTGGCCCCAAATTCTGAAGGGTTCGGTGCCTGCATTATTTGTGGCCGTTAGGTGATTGCCTGCTACCCAGTCATTTCGGTCACGTAGGAGTAGCAGGTTCAGGGTGTAAGTTCTCTGCTTGCACAATCTTGAGGGGCTTTGTGGGCAAAGGTTTAGCTTGCATCGCAGGGCTTAGTTAATGAAATCTGCTGTTGTTATGCTGTGGTGCTTCGAGAGTGACTTGTCAAGTATCAAGATTCATGTGCGTCGGATCCTGTTATATGCGCAGCTGAGAAAGCTGCATGGCACACGGCATGGCAATGATGAGTCTGGCTTGTTGATGGCAGGCATATGAGTAGGTCCAGCTGCAGGGCTAAGATCTTGCTTGACGGTTGGTCTTGCAGGTATCCCCACGTGGCCGGAAACTGCCAAATCATTGTTGTTGCTTTGCCCCGCCCCCATGCGGAAGATCGCGGACAGGCTGCACCACCATGGCCACAGCATCCGCTGGCCGCAATGCTGGCAGCTGGGGCGAAGGCACTCTTGCAAGAGAGTGCAAAGCAGCCATGTCTGTGGCAGTAGGCACATATTTATTAAAACCAACCGGGAGCAAGAGTAAGATTAAGTAGTGAATTCATACGATGTATCATGATGAGGATACCGAGGCTTGAAAGCCCCTTAGGTGATCTAGGTTTTTTGGGTATATTAAACGGCTGAGAAAGGGTTGGCTGTGATTGAGTACAGAGCAATTGAATCAAACGTTGTGTCTTTCAGCCTTTTCGTGATAGTAGAACTTGCCCATACCTCTATGCCCTTCTTTCCGAGGCAGTTAGTGTAGTTATATGACAAATTCAGACAGGGTATGCTCCAGAAGTGAAGGCAATTGAAAGGCCTGCTTCTGTAGAATATCGGGGTCCTTCCCATAAGGATTACTAGTCGAGGATGCCTAGCCTATGAACCTTCAGCAAGTTGCGTATCAGGTCTCCATCAACTCGGATGATCCGACAGTTCTCTGCTTTCTGTACAAGATGGGATTCAGGGCATAGCATTTCTTAGTGTCAGGGGCTTCAAAATTCGGAGCTTAACCTCGCTCTCTTGTTGTGGTGAGCTTATTGCGAACTTTCGGGGTTGGGGAGCTTTAAGGTGATGTTGTGTTTGGGTTTTTGGGGTTTTGAGTTTTGGTCGTTGAGGTCGTGATATTCGGCTTGTGCTTGATTTGTGGATATGTTGCCTCCATGGGCCCCACAGGCCTTCAATGTGGCTTGTAAGACAGACCTTCCTTACTGTGAGGCGACCGCACTTGTTGAGTATATCTCTTGGGGCCAAGGGTGTCCACCAGTTCGAGATTTCTGTGTTGTGGGATCTCGGGTTGGCTGGTGAAGCAAAACTTTTTTCCATGATTTCTGGCTACAGCCGTGCTGCATACACTGAAGGCAATTGCCCTTTGATTTTTGAGCTATATGTGCCAATTTTCTAGAGCAAAGCAGGGCCATCGAGCAGTGAGCTCGTGATCAGGAATGAAAACTCGCACAAAGTGTATCTTACATGAGCATGCAATTAGAAGATTGATGGCTCATGGGTGTACCGTCTGGTCAGTTGTGTACCTCCTGCATACTCAGGTGTTTGACACCTCGCTGACGGCAGAGCTGTTGCTTTGCCTTCGAGAGATGAAGCTCACCCGTGAGCAGGACCGGCAAGGGCGAGGGAATCACCTCCTATGACGGCTTCATACAATAAATCTAGAAGACATGAAGCTTCAAGGGCCATGGCTTCCACATGTTGATCCCAAATTGCTCTTCATTGAGGCAGTATAGTGGCCCTGCTCTCTTTTCGTGCAAAATTTGTTGGGTTTCAGATTGACCTCCTACCATTTACCATTCCCTCACCACCTCTTTAAAACTTGTCATTTCTGCAACAAGGAATATGTTTATTTGAAGGTTTTTGGAAATTAGGGGTCCCTGTGATTTATAACACAAGTCTTATAATAATTTACAGAGAAATATTAATGCTAACAATAACAGAATAAGGACTACACTTTATTTTGGGGTATAGTTGGGGTCCCCTGTTTCTCGAAACTCCTGATTCTAGAGGAGCAGAGTACATGAGTTCACCCCCTCATGCCAAACCCCTACATAATAGTTTCCATGTTATTTTCCATTATCCCTATAAAGCCCCTATATAGCCCATTTATGAACCCCTATATTAAGCCTATATGAAGACCCTAAACCCTAAACCCTAAACCCTGGACCTCGCTGTAAAGCGCTCTTCGCTAAGCTTCGGATAGTGGAGAAA